TGCCTAAGGTGAATGAAGTGTAGGAGAGTGGAAACAAAACCCCAAAGCTGACTTGGGGTGCTGGCTCCTCGGCAGTGGGGTCTCGTTTGGTACGGATCGTTGGACAGTGGATGCATTTCTTGGCCGCTTCCTAGCCTAGGGAGGAAAACATTTTTAATTTAATATAATTATCAAATAATCAAAGAGGTTGTGATGGCACTTCCGCGGGTTTCATACAGGACCAAAGCGGAGTGGCTATTGCTAACGGGACTCAGACTAGGAGGTCGTGAGTTTCAACGCCTCGACACTTTAATCGAAGTTTGTTGTGAATACTTTCATTTCGCATAGAAGTACATGATGAAGAGATTCGTAGACCAATCTCACCAAAAGACGCCGGCAGCACACGATTTCACTAAAAACATAGTTCAAGGTAACCAATAGATTCATTCGTAGCCTCTCGAATCCTTTTCGCTGCTTGGTACCTGCCTTTAAGGACAAAACCGCACAACAATAACAAACAAACCTGCACATTACAACTCGTCTTTTCAATGGGTCGACCGCTTTGTGTCATCCGTTTGGTTCCCACAATTCCAGTCAGTCGATCGGAACATTTCTGTTTATCCAAATGATGACTGGTCTTCTGGTGGTATCGAACTTCTAATATCTTTGTTCACACACTTCAGTTCAAAATGCAAGTGAGTTTAACAAGTATGAACAGAAGATATGAAGACCAGGATGGTGTGGCCTTTTGTATGGTCGCGATCTCCTTTCGTTGTTTATACGTTATTTGACCTTGTTCACACAACTTGGCCGTTTTGGTAGGAAGAATAAGAGGTACGCACTTAATCCGGAGTCCATTGTGTGCATGATCATTTCCAGAGTCGGACCGTAGACGTGGTACATTCTCAGACGTTTCGCCGGCATCGTCAGTGGGTCTTGTCATTCTTAGCACCACACTACAACTCGCCAAAAAGACAGGTGAAGCCGATCATTTGACCACAAATGTTTATCACACAATTGGTCAAAGGATCAACTTCACTTGTCTCTTTGACGAGTTGTGATGAAGTGGTTGGCATGGCAAGGCTCACTGACGATGTCGGCGAAACGTCTGTGAATGTACCGCATCCACGGTCCTACTCTGGATATGATGATGCATACTATGGACTCCGGACTAGGGGCGTTCCTCTAGATCTTCCTGCCAATATGACCAAGTTGCGAAAACAAGGTCAAACAACTTCTATAAACCGAAATATTCGGCCTTCCGAGAAAAATCGTTCCATGTTCGCCCGATATTAGGCTAATATCATAACGACTGGACCGACGTAACAGTTAATTGTGGTTTCCGTGGTGTACTGAAAGTGATTGCGTCCAAGAAACTGGCGATTAGGCTCCACAAACTGCTTGATTAACCCTCGGTTTTCGGGCTCGAGGCCTGTCTACCCAAACGCGGCTCTTTTAGCTCTCAAAAAGCTTTGTCTTTGAGTGGTAATTGAAGCAAAAAACATTATACTGGTACCATAAGTTTGTTGCACAACGTGAGTTGAATAAATCTTGGATTATTCAAGACAAATCGTGATCGAATCAAGTAAATGTAAACACACCTTAGCCAATTATTGATATTTCAATCGCGTTTGGTGGAAGCAAGAACATGACCAATTGAGGGAATATTGGCCGAGACCCCAATTAGCGATTGGTTCGGGCATAATTCCTCTCATTAACAGAAATAAATTCAATTTGCATGACTTGAATGCACTTATTGGTGAAATCAACTACGTAATAAAAACAGAGGGGAAAGTGTGGGACTTTTTGCATAATAAATGCATTTTTTATCTTTTTCTAATCATTCAAAGACCGTTGCCTTTGGAGATGCATATT